AAAATGATGAGGTAGTACTTTAAGATCTCAGTAAACAGGTTCGCTCATACGGAATAAGTGGTCCTTTAATTACAGCAATCTTAGATGATTTATAATTTTATAGATCAAAACTATCACTGAATTATGTTTGGAAGCCATTTTTTAACAGTGATAAGTTTCATTTGGAAGATTCTCTTAACAGACTACACTGTTATCTTGAACCAGCTGCATTTTCTAAAGTTCTTCAGTGATACTGTAAAAATGCACTGCAGTAATCCGTATACAGTATAAATTGGTTTAATAAATAAATTCGGATTGGGCTATTTCACTAAAGAATATAGATAACTATCGCTACCCGAAAAGTTTACATGTTGTCAAATGCCTAATATCACTAAATAAAATTTCTTGTGATGGATTTAGTAGCAGGAGATTGAATCTCTTCTTCCCAGAAATAATTGAATGCAGAAAGTGAGCCCCTCTGGTAACATTTGCTAAAATTTGGTCATACTTGCTTCTACCATAATGTACACATTGTGTTATGGGAGCTAGTTAAGTCACCATCAAAGGCTATACATAGTTGTATAAAACCAGGATACATTGACACAGGTTCTGGATAGGATAACAGCGGGAAGTAATCTGCAGCTTCTTTTCTTCTCTTACATAGACATCTTTGCCTTACTTTCAATTCAAATGCAGCCCTTGGCCATTGTAAGATGGCCTACCCTTCTCTTCTGAAATAGATTAATTGCTGTTTATTCTGTATGCACATTTTTGGGAGGATGGTGAAACAATGCAGGTGTTCTTTACCAGTATTTTCCCCCTTCTGTGCAGGACAAATTGCAGTCTTGGAATAGGTAATTGAAATGACTAAATGGATTAAAATCCACCTCCCCTAGTTATAGTCTTCCTGATCCAAATTGAGAAAGGGGCAATTCTGCAGCTGTTTTAGCTATAAACCCGCCATATATGACCTGTCTTCTCCAGAGTGCATCATTCACAGCTAGCTTTGTCACAGATCATACTAGTTATAGTACAATGTATCTGGAGGAGATCAGATTGGGAAAAGCTGATCTAAACTGTTGAAAGTGTTGTACATGGATCTTCTACATTACATCTAAATAAATTCTCACTAAAGTTCCATTTATAATTTGAAATTACAGGTTAATATTTCCTAGTGTTATTCTCATTTCTGTCTGCAAATTGCTTTCCTAACTGTATGAAACTGGTGGAAGTCTTACCTAGTAACTAGTGTATACATACTGTTTTAGATTAAACTAGGAATTTTTTGAGACTTAATTTCTAAAAGTTGGTTTTCTAGTGCATCTTATGTTTGCTTCTGGAAAGCTGACATAGGAAAATAAAAATTTCATAACTTTGACGATTGGTCAGCACTTTCTATTTTTGCAAAGAGGTTGTGAAAGTAAGTTTTGAAAAACAAAAAAGAGGTTTTTAGCTTTATGTTCCATAACTTAATGACATTTCCTTTGAAATTGAATATGCCAAAATATAATTATATAAACCACTATATAATAGTGGAACTAGCACAACTGCTTGAAAATAAAAGTTTTCATCAGAGAATCCATGTGCTACACTGATCCACATGGATTCATTCTCTGTCCTTGTTTCCAGTTTAAGTCTTAACTTTAACTGCAGGATGAAATAGTATTGTTTCTTTTTTTCCCCTGTAGATAGAAATTGATTTTCAAAACAGTTGACTACTTATTTACTTATTTTTCCTGGATGCTGATTTTGATTAATCTGGGATGAGTTTGATCCTGTGAATCCTGAGGAAGTAAACAGCAGCACAAGCTCAACCACTTACAGTTTGGACTCCTGCCCTTCCTGGTTAGTGAAAGCCTACAGGGAGGTGATGGGAGACAGGTTGGGGTGATGGTGAATGCATCTTTGAGAAGGGAGTTATTACTACCCTCTTTGAAACCATCCTCCTCAAGAAACCATTCGTCCTGGATGTACTGGACAATTTTTGCAGGAAGGTAGTGGAGAAAGTGGATGGACTGCGCACTTATAGATGATCTTTGGTGGGACTGAGATAGAGGGTGACCTTTGTGGTTCTGTTTGATCTGTCAGTGGCTTTTGATACTGTCAGTCATGGTATCTTTTTAAGACATCTGTGAGTGTTAGGAGTGGGTGGCACTGTTTTGCAGTGGTTCTCCTTTCTGAAGGGACAGTTTCATTTAGTGTTGGTGGGGAGAGATTGAGCCCTGTGCCCCTCAATTGTGGGATGCCACAGGGCTCACTGTTCTATTCCTATTTAGTATTTACATGAAACCACTGAGCAAGATCATCTGTTGGTACAAGGCTAGGTTTCCTCAGTATGTTGATGATACCCAACTTGACCCCTGGTTGATCTTGTCAGAGTGTTCTCCATGTGTCTGAAGGTTGTCTGGGTCTGGATGGGGAGGGACGGGTTAAGACTCAATCCCAGTAAGATGGAGTGATTTGGGGTTTGAAGGCCTACCAATTCAGTGAGGTTCCATTGTTAGCTCTGGACAGAATTGCATTCTCCCAATAGAGCTGATTTGTTTTTTGGGGGGTCCTCTTGTATTCATAGCTCCTGCCTAAGGAGCAAGTGACTGTTGCGGCCAGGAGGACTTTTGCACAGCTCCATCTTGTGCACCAATTGCAATCTTTCCTGGACAGAAGGAATTAGAGTCATTCATGCCTGAATTACCTCTTGATTGGACTATTGCAATGCACTCTATATGGGGCTGCCCTTAAAGAATATTTGGAAACTGTAGCTGGTTCAGAATATAGTAGCAATTCTAGTTGTAGGTGCACTTTGTGGCCCCCACAAAACATCTGTACTGCAAGAGCTGCACTGGCTGCCATTTGGCTTTCAGGCACAATTCAAGGTGTTTGTTGTCACTTTTAAAAGCCCTCCATAGTTCAGGGCCGTGGTATATTTAGGACCGCTTTCTCCAAGTATGTCTGCCCACTTTGTAAGATCTAGCAGGGGGCTTGCTTCATATCCCCTTGATCAAAGATTGCCATTTCACGGATCACAGAAGCATGACTTCTCAGTCAGTACCCCTCCTATGAAATATTATCCCCTCTCCCAACATTCAGATAGTTCCCCCCACCCCAACTTTCAGGAAATTAATAAAACGTTGGCTATTTTGTCAAACTGTGGGGGCCAGTTCTCTATAACTACCCCTCCCAAGAATTAATTTTGTCTGAAGTGTCTCCTGGTTGCATATTATTAGAACATTTTGTTTCTAAATTTTATTTGTATTTTTAGTCCTAAATATGTACTGGGGAGTTGTATGCTGCTCACACTAGGCTAATTGGAATGGCTTATAAGCCCTGCAAATAAAATAAACTCACTCCTTCTGCTAATAGGCAACTAAATGCTGAGAATTAACTGCTATTCTAGGCAGATTTTCACAAATACAAACTTTTTCAAAAATACTGGTATTTGAGGATATAAAGCAGCAGTTTAAGTCAATTTTTCAGAATTATTTCCTACTTTTATTATGTTTTTATTTTTGACATGTACTTTCAGTTCTTCTTCAACTAAAAGTTCTAGAATATGGTATTATCCTGAACTAAATGATAAATGTATACTTCCAGTGATCTAAGATGACATAGTTCAAAGATAATTTCTCAATAGTAATATATAACATTAAGAACTCGTTTGCACTTATGAGATAACCTATCAACAATTCAGACATTCAGGTTTCATGGTATTTAGTCTGGATCTCCGTGAATTTTCAAATTTAGTTTGTAAAATTCTTTGAAAATGGCATAGGCTCTGTTAGAAAATGGCTAGCTAACATAGGGAACGGCAGTTACTAAAATGGCAAAATACCAAACAAGCATTTGACAGAAGTACTTGTCTGATGTTAAAAGAAAAGTAATGTATTTGCCCAAGAACTGAATATGTGCTGGTTGTAATGTCTAAACCATGAAGTACAAAGCCAGTTCATGATTAGTTCTTGTTCAGGATTGTGCCTCGTTTGCCATTCTCTATTCTTCCTCCTGCTCCTGGGATGCATGATTCTGTTTCACTCAACATGGCCTCTCCAGTCCCACCACTTGGGAACTACCTCTTCTCCTTCTCCCTCTTTTATGTTTAAAAAAAAGTTTTGGCAAATGATTAGGAAACAACTGAGCTCTGGCCTCCTTTCCTTTTGAATAATGCTTTGAATACATGTGAGACCCAGGGGTGTATTGTGGATGGAGGCCAAAGTTCAGCTGCTTTCTAGCCAGAAAAGGTGATTTTAGAAAATAAATAATTAACTCTCCCTTCTCCAGTTCTTCCTAAAAGATAGCAGAGGGAGGATTGGTGAGCAACTAGGAAGATGTGCTCATATGCAGTACGGCCTGTAAATGGTGTATTATTAACCTCTAGTATATAAAACCATACTTTAATGTAAAATTTTACAATAAATAGGTTGTTTTTTTCTAATTTTGCTATGATTACATTATATGTAAAATTATGTGTATTATTTTGACTGTAAGTCCTTGAAATTGTTTATCACTGTTTAACAAGTAGTCTAAATCATTTGGTACTCTGCTTAAAATGAGGGGTGGGTGTGCTTATCTATATCCATTTATTATTCCAGTACTAATTTATACAGGCAGAACAAATTGCACAGGTTTGCCAAACTCTCACTTGATAAATGTCTATTTTCAGTATAAAAACAAGATTCTCTACCTCATGCTTTAAACTTTCTTTTTATGAAATGTGAACAATTATATACATTCTCAAACTTCTACATATATCTAAGAATACAATTGGAATTTATTTCCTATTTTCAAATACAATCATTCATTATTTATACTTGAGCTAAAGGGAAAGTGTTACTGTCTTATGTACTAAGCAGGATTATACTTTGCCTGTATATTTGAATGCAAAACAGCTGTGTAATGTTTTGGAACTGGTGTCATCCAAAATTTCTAAGTTTTTTTTAAACTGCAGATGTAGTATAATGATTCAAAGTAATGAACCCCTACAAAATCCACTGTTTCTGACTTAAGATTTTACTCCTGTTTTGTAGGTTTATGGGTGTCTGTGTACATCAAGGACAATTACATGCCCTTACTGAGGTAAGCTTTGATTACCTCTCCTCCCCTTGGCTTTGCAAAGTTTCTTATGGTCATGCTAAGCAACATGTTTAATGAAATAGACTAGTATAGCTCTGACATAGGTACCACTGCAAAACAGTATCTTGCCAGTGCTCCCAACCCTTGGAAACAGTCTAAAATGATACCATGATCTGTGGTATCTAAGGCTGCTAAGAAATCAAAGAATACTAGGAGGGTCTCATGCTCACTTTCCCAGTCTCACCAAGGGTCATCTAAGGGTAAGCAGTGTAGTCTTGGTGCTATATTCATTTCTGAAAACAAACTGTTGGTTCAGATGATGTTTCTTCAAGGTCTTTTTGCAACTGTAGTCCCACCACTTTCTCAGCATCCTTCCCTAGAAAAAGAAAGTTAAAAACTAGTTGATAACTCTTCTGGATTTTGGGGTCAAGTGAAGGACCCTTGAGGAGGGAATGTACCAGCACCACCACCTTCAAGGCAGGAAGCATCACCCCTTCTCCTGAGGATGCATTTACTGTCACCCTGAACCAGCTACCTCCCTAGAGATTTTCATCAACTAGGAAGAGCCAAGATCCAGACCACAGGTGGCTGAGTTGATGTCAGAGAGAACCTGTCCACTTTCTCAGGACTCAAAGGCTCATCCCAGATAACCTTGCAAGAAATAGTCTTTGTTACTACATCAGGACTTGTCCAGCTAATGTCCAGTTCTGAGTATATTAGAGCAATTTTATCCTCCAGATGCATAGAAAATTCCTCACAACAGCTCTGCAGATATTTTTCTAAACCATCCTTCCCCAGTAGGTCTCTCTCACATACCTACCACATGCATTTGTGTGTGTGTGTGTGTGTGTAAAAATCAGTCAGTGATTAGGGCAGATCAAGTTTTATAGCATGATTGTAGCTGCTGTATTTAATCTGGCATAAGCACATTTTTAAGTCTCTTATCAAAACAGAAAATTGCTGACATCGTGGTTGAATCATTTTTACCACTTCCGATTATGCCATACAGCATAAATTGAAATATCTCTTAAAGGCAACACAATTTCAAGAACATAAAGAGGGATATTAACATTTGATAGCTACATAGCATTTCTATAAATGATTGTATACCATTATTTCCAGTAAGTAATATTAAGATACAATTGCAATGCATTTTATGTCATTATTCTATATAGATTCTGTTCTTCTGCTTGGCCATTCTTTTAATGAATCTTTTTATCTATGATGCTGTGCAAAAATATGAATGTCTTCCTCTGTTCTCCATTCCTTACATTTGTGTTCTGTCAGAAGCTTGGCAGCCTACAATAAAAATAGGGTAAAATACTTAATTTAAGCATTTATGCTTGAAACATTAGGAAGATGCTCTCAAAATTTCTGAAAAGTATTTTTATGTTCAGGAAAGATTTTGGATTTGTGAACTTTCACATAATCCTAATTGGGTAATGTTTATTCAGCTATTAATACTCACCTCATCTTACTGTTGCATACCCTTGTTGTTGTAGAGGTCTTTTCCTGTATTTTCTGTTTGTTCTGCTGCCACCACTAAACCTCCTTTCTAGTTTAGAAACTTTTAAAAATCTCTAAGATAACAGTATTGGGTAGAATATGGAAGAAGATACAGGTTGGAACAGGCACTTGGTTAACATAGAAACAAAGGACAAGTTGACTTGTATTAAGTAATTTTAAAAAAGGTTTTAAAATGGGTTAATTTCTACAAAATATCTCTAGCCTATCAATACTAGCCTACCGTGATGCTAAAATTATTCGGAATCCTGTCATCTTGGCATGGGGGTATATTTCCAGGCTTGGTCTTTGACCCTCTCTCAAATCAGTTCTTCCACCTCCCAAATCCACCTCCGCTTCCAACCTCCTCTTCCTGGAATATAACCTGGGTGGAAGTGTCCTGCGTTGCCATCCCTTGATTGACTTTTCTCCCCCCTTGCCCCCCCAGTCATCACAATCACTTACCCCACATTTTTGCACAATGAAAATATCTCTAGACATAATTTCCTCTTGGCAAACGCATTGTTTCTGAAATATTGTAAAGGTAAAGTAAAATGGCTCTTTGATTAAGAAACAGTCCCTTTACTAATCAACTGTAGGTTATTCTTTTGAAGTATTTGCACATATTTGTGAGTGTAAATTGTAATTTGGGATGTAGTGAGTGAAAATGAGATGTCACATTTTTATTAACCAAGTATTTTTCAGTCACCATTATGAATTATTATATTTCATCTGTCAACAACATTAATGTTTTTGGAGTTCCCAGGTAGCCTTTCATCCAGACAATGACAGCTTCATTTTAGCAAGATTGCTATGTATATAATGTACCCACAGACATGGAAAATCTTGTTTGATAGGCAACTTGGTAACCTGAAGCCGTTTGAACTTCAATTCTCAGCAGTCCCTACTAACTAAGGCAAAATATTGTGGGAGTTGCAAATATCAGGAGTTCGCCATGTTGCTTAATCTGGTCACAGATCTCTGAACTCTGAAAATGAAGCTGTCATTGTCTGGATGAAAGGCTACCTGGGAACTCCAAAAACATTAATGATGTTGATAGATGAAATATGATAATCCATAATGGTGACTGAAAAATACTTGGTTAACAAAAATGTGACATCTCATTTTCACTCACTAAATCCCAAATTACAATTTACACTCACAGTTTCATGGTTTTGAGTGTGATTTTTGCTTTTCAGTGCAGTTTTTCTAGCTGCTTATATATTGTGGAACAAGTATCGTATTTTTCCGTTAATAAGACGCCCCCGTGTATAAGACGAC